CCGAAGTATGCTAATTTTCGGATTCGGCGGGAATCGAAATTTTTCTAATATTCGAAACGAATTCCACTTCGCCTAGTTCGATTCGCTCATCTCTAATCATCACTGGTGTAGAGGGGATTCAAAGGTGATCACCACTGGTGAAAAAGGAATTCACAGGTGGTCATAATTGGTGGAAAGCGGATTCAAAGATGGTCATCAATGATGGGCAGGGGATTCATAGGTGGTCACCACTAGTGTAAAGGGGATTCACAGATGGTCATCACTGGTGGAGAGGGGATTCACAGGTGGTCATTAATGATGGGAAGGAGATTCTCAGATGGTCATCAATGATGGGAAGGGGATTCGGGGGTTTCCCAGGTGGTGATCACTGGTGGAGAGGGATTCACAGATAGTCATAACTGATGGGGAGGGGGATTCCATGGTGGTTATCACTGGTGGAAAGGAGAATCACAGATGGTCATCAATGATGGGGAGGGGATTCCATTGTGGTCATTACTTGTGGAAAGGAGATTCAAATATGGTCATCAATGATGGAGAGGGAATTCACAGGTGGTCATCATTGGTGGAGAAGGGATTCACAGATGATCATCACTGGTAGAGAGGGGATTCACAGATGGTCATCAATTATAGAGAAGAGATTCATGTGTGGTCATTATTGGTGGGGAGGGGTTTTACAGGTGGTCTTCATTGTTTAGTAGGGGAGTCACAGGTGTTCTTCATTAACGAGGAGGGAACTAACAGGTGACCAGTATTAGTGAGAGGGTATGTGGTCATAAGTTGTGTGAAAAGGAGTCTCAGGTATTCTTTATCCAAGTGAGAAGATTGTGAATACTAATCAGTTCATGAGGGATAATAATAAAACTGCTATTTGGGAAGGAGGAAACCCCTGTATCTGTCATGACAGGTTTCCTTTACAGTGGACTGACACCCTCACAGTTAAACGCAGAGACACCCCCCCCACCCCCACCCCCAACACACACAGTTTTTCACAATATTTAACACCATCCAGAGTTTTGGTCACTTTTTTTGGGTCAGGTCATTATGTGTTTGTTTGATTAGCAAACTTTTTCATGGCCAATATAAATGCCAAATTCATAGAGATTTGTGTTTTCTCAGAGGACAAGTGAGCATATGTATGACAGTAGGATATATTTTTTTTAAATAGATAGATAGATAGATAGATAGATAGATAGATAGATAGATAATAGATAGATAGATAGATAGATAGATAGATAGATAGATAGATAATAGATAGATAGATAGATAGATAGATAGATAGATAGATAGATAGATAGATAGATAGATAGATAGATAGATAGATAGATAGATAGATAGATAGATAGATAGATAGATAGATAGATAGATTTTATTTTCCAATGACATGAATGCACATGGTGTCCATGTACTGGATGGAGACCCTGAGCAGAAGGATATTTTACATTCATTTTATAAAACTGTAGAAAGCAAAAAATTAAAACTGAGATTCCCATTTCACCCCACAAATCTCTATAACAAGTCCTAAAATCTAAATAATTCCTACCCACCCATGGTACTCCACTCCTTTACTGTCCACCAATGTTAACTGAGTACCCCACCATATATTATATATTTCGTAGTTTCATTTAATGGTTTTGAAAGTTTTTTCAAACTAGGGATGACCTTAACCTTTTGCTTTTTTTGCTGTTCAGAAAAAATCCTAGCTTTGCGGACATTCAGAAGGAATTTCTTGCTCCTAACATCCCACAATGCATAGCCTGAGCCATCATCCACTAAGATTTTTCAACTGACCTGGTCAAATGCAAGACTTAGGCCAATGTTGGTTCGCAGCAAATTTGCAGCTCACACGCAATTAAAGGCAGCTCTCCTCCAGCAACCCTTTCCTGATGGTGGATTAAGGGTGATTAAGGCAGCTGACATTTGTTTAAGGAAAAGACAGTTCCAATAATGATCACTTTCAATCCCCTCCCCACTGAGCATCTGTGAATCCCCTCTACACCAGTGATGACCATCTGTGAATCCCCTCTACACCAGTGATGACCATCTGTGAATCCCCTCTACACCAGTGATGACCATCTGTGAATCCCCTCTACACCAGTGATGACCATCTGTGAATCCCCTCTACACCAGTGATGACCATATGTGAATCCCCTTTACACCAGTGATGACCATCTGTGAATCCCCTCTACACCAGTGATGACCATCTGTGAATCCCCTCTACACCAGTGATGACCATCTGTGAATTCCCTCTACATCAGCGATGACTATTTGTGAATCCACTATCCACCAGTGATGACCACCTGTGAATCCTGTGATGACCACCTGTAAAGCCTGCAAAAGGACCCTATAATTTGTTGCATCAAGGGGAGGGACCATCACTGGTTGGCTACTTTCCTTGATCCTCTTTCCAGGGGGAAAGTCACAGAACTTATCCTGCTCTGGCAAAGATATCAGCCATAACCCAAGTATTTATTTATTTTCACCCGACGGACAGCTTTCTCATGAATGTGGTCTGAGCTGTTTATTTAGCTCTGCAGCGACATGCCAAGAGGTGGTTAAGATAAAGACGGGACAATCCTCCGGTGGTGGGTTTCATGCGTCCCATAACCATATAGTAGCCCATGGCTGAAGATAGACATCTCAGGATCATGGGGTCCTCAGCAACCCAGATGACTCAGATTCTTCTGAACCCAACAGTTTGTGGCACCCAGGCTCCCTCTTGCTCCAGAGCTTGCAAAAGGACCTTGTGATTCGTTGCATCAAGGAGAGGGACCATTACTGGTTGGCTACTCTCCTTGATCCACTTTACAGGAGAAAAGTCACAGAACGTTTCCTGCTCTGGCAAAGGGAACAAAGGAGGAAACATCTAGAGGATGTATTGTAGAGGAACCTGTGTAACGCCTTTCCAGAGGCTGGCAGGTTAATGTCTCATGGACAAGATGTTACTGAGCCTCCTGGAGGTGAAAGGAAGAGCAATGAGAAAGGGGACAACTTGAGGGATGTCTTTAAAACATTTTTCAGTCCTCAGCTCAGCTCCAGGGGGGGGATAAGCAGGGCCCGATTAAGAGTATTATGGGCCTGGGGAATCCATAATGGCATGTTCCCATGCTAGGGAGGACTCCGACCAGGATCCTAACTGACTAAAGTGTTTTGAGGGCTCATAAGGGGGGATATGATCTCCATGTATAATACATAAGGGGGGGATATGATCTCCATGTATAATACATAAGGGGGATATGATCTCCATGTATAATACATAAGGGGGATATGATCTCCATGTATAATACATAAGGGGGGATATTATCTCCATGTATAATACATAAGGGGGATATGATCTCCATATATAATACATAAGGAGGGATATGATCTCCATGTATAATACATAAGGGGGATATGATCTCCATGTATAATACATAAGGGGGGATATGATCACCATGTATAATACATAAGGGGGGATATAATCTCCATGTGTAATACATAAGGGGGGATATGATCTCCATGTATAATACATAAGAGGGGATATGATCTCCATGTATAATACATAAGGGGGGATATGATCTCCATGTATAATACATAAGGGGGGATATGATCTCCATGTATAATACATAAGGGGGGATATGATCTCCATGTGCAATACATAAAGGGGGATATGATCTCCATGTGCAATACATAAGGGGGGATATGATCTCCATGTGCAATACATAAGGGGGGATATGATCTCCATGTATAATACAAAAGGGGGGATATGATCTCCATGTACAATACATAAGGGGGGATATGATCTCCATGTATAATACATAAGGGGGGATATGATCTCCATGTATAATACATAAGGGGGGGATATGATCTCCATGTATAATACATAAGAGGGGATATGATCTCCATGTATAATACATAAGGGGGGATATGATCTCCATGTGTAATACATAAGGGGGATATGATCTCCATGTATAATACATAAGGGGGGATATGATCTCCATGTGTAATACATAAGGGGGGATATGATCTCTATGTATAATACATAAGGGGGGATATGATCTCCATGTTTAATACATAAGGGGGGATATGATCTCCATGTTTAATACATAAAGGGGGAGATGATCTTCAAGTATGATACTTAAGGGGGGATATAATCTCCATGTGTAATACATAAGGGGGTATATAATCTCCATGTATAATACAAAATGGGGACCTTAGCTGGGGAGCCTATTCACTGGAGTTGACTGAGGGAAATGGCGGCCAAACCAGAAAGAATGACCATGGACCAGATAGGACCAGACCCCTGAAAGAGATGTTTTCTTATGTTTCTGCTGTTCATCGAGGTCTCAGATATGCTAGCTGGGGGGTCTATTCACCAGAGTTGACTGAGGGACTTTATTTGGGGGATCTGGCCTGGAGGGTTCACAGAAGAAGTGTCTGAAAAATATTGGAAGGAGACATCCAATTATCCAAGGACCTTAGTGGGTACAGACCGCTGTCCCCGTGACTGTGTGCTGCTGCTATCCCTCTTGTGCTAGAGTCAGAGTTACTTAAAGGGGACATTATGTACTTTGTGTCTCAGTGTAGCTCAACCCAATATTTGCTGCTGCAAGGACTGTGCTCAGATTCTAAGGAGGAAGATTAGTGTCCTCAAGTTGCTTCCTAGAGCTGCTGGAGTATCCCACAGTTACCCTGAACCCATCCAATTTCACGTCCTGCAATAAAGCATCAGAAAAGCATATCCCCAGACTGATCAATGAGCCAAAAGAGTGGTTGTGACCGTGTGCTGGTTGTGCTGCATACAGGAATATTAGTAGAAGTTTGGCAGGTTTGGAGAGGAGTTTGGTAACAGGTAGTTATCACTGGTAAGGAGGAACTGCATAGGTAGTTATTAGAGATGAGCGAAGTATTCAAAAATTCGATTCGACTGATTCGGCGAATTCGTGGAAAAAATTTGATTAGAGTCGAATATATTCGCGGTGAATTTAACTTAAAAAAGGGTGTTTCTAGGCTTCAGAGAGACTTTATTTTAGTGCAGAACACTGTACCTTTAATTTAAATGCCCTTGGAGTCTGCTGGGGAAGAGAAATAATACTGTCAGTCAGTATGACATGCAGATGAGTGCCGTCGATCTTAGAATCACCGCACACTTCACTCATTTGGCCAGTCACGGGGCCAAAACCAGTGTTTGGAGCCACAGTGTGGCGGTGGAGGCAGCAGCAATGGGAGGACATACAGCACCCTATGACAAAATGGAAACCAGCAGGAGTGTGAGGAGACCTGAAAGTGGCACATGGCAGAGTGGGAGCAATGGGAGGCGGTACAGGGACCCATGACACACTGTGGACCCAGCAGCAGCGTGACGAGGCGGGTACGGGGGCCCATGGCAGATTTGGGGCCTGGCAGAACCTATGGGAGGCCTGTAATCTGACAGCAACCTATGACAAAATGGAAACCAGCAGGAGTGTGAGGAGACCTGAAAGTGGCACATGGCAGAGTGGGAGCAATGGGAGGCGGTACAGGGACCCATGACACACTGTGGACCCAGCAGCAGCGTGACCAGGCGGTACGGGGGCCCATGGCCGATTTGGGGCCTGGCAGCACCTATGGGAGGCCTGTAATCTGCCAGCAACCTATGACAAAATGGAAACCAGCAGGAGTGTGAGGAGACCTGAAAGTGGCACATGGCAGAGTGGGAGCAATGGGAGGCGGTACAGGGACCCATGACACACTGTGGACCCAGCAGCAGCGTGACCAGGCGGTACGGGGCCCATGGCAGATTTGGGGCCTGGCAGCACCTATGGGAGGCCTGTAATCTGCCAGCAACCTATGACAAAATGGAAACCAGCAGGAGTGTGAGAAGACCTGAAAGTGGCACATGGCAGAGTGGGAGCAATGGAGGAGGCGGTACAGGGACCCATGACACACTGTGGACCCAGCAGCAGCGTGACCAGGCGGTACGGGGGGCCCATGGCAGATTTGGGGCCTGGCAGCAACCTATGGGAGGCCTGTAATCTGCCAGCAACCTATGACAAAATGGAAACCAGCAGGAGTGTGAGGAGACCTGAAAGTGGCACATGCAGAGTGGGAGCAAAGGGAGGCGGTACAGGGACCCATGACACACTGTGGACCCAGCAGCAGCGTGACCAGGGCGGTACGGGGGCCCATGGCAGATTTGGGGCCTGGCAGCACCTATGGGAGGCCTGTAATCTGCCAGCAACCTATGACAAAATGGAAACCAGCAGGAGTGTGAGGAGACCTGAAAGTGGCACATGGCAGAGTGGGAGCAATGGGAGGCGGTACAGGGGGACCCATGACACACTGTGGATCCAGCAGCAGCGTAACCAGGCGGTACGGGGGCCCATGGCAGATTTGGGGCCCTGGCAGCACCTATGGGAGGCCTGTAATCTGCCAGCAACCTATGACAAAATGGAAACCAGCAGGAGTGTGAGGAGACCTGAAAGTGGCACATGGCAGAGTGGGAGCAATGGGAGGGCGGTACAGGGACCCATGACACACTGTGGACCCAGCAGCAGCGTGACCAGGCGGACGGGGGCCCATGGCAGATTTGGGGCCTGGCAGCACCTATGGGAGGCCTGTAATCTGCCAGCAATCTATGACAAAATGGAAACAAGCAGGAGTGTGAGGAGACCTCAAAGTGGCACATGGCAGAGTGTGGCGATGGAAACAGCAGCAATGGGAGGCCGTACAGGGACCCATGACAAACTGTGGACCTAGGAGCAGCGTGACGAGGCGGTACGGGGGCCCATGGCAGATTTGGGGCCTGGCAGCAGCAATGTGAGGCCCGTAATCTGCCAGCATCCTATGACAAAATGAAACACACCAGCAGTGTGAGGAGACCTGAAAGTGGCACATGGCATGACACACTGTGGACCTTGCAGCAGCGTGAGGAGGCGGTACAGGGGCCCATGGCAGATTGGGCCTGGCCGCAGCAATGTGAGGCACGTAATCTGCCAGCATCCTATGACAAAATGAAACACACCAGCAGTGTGTGAGGAGACCTGAAAGTGGCACATGTTTGGGGCATGATTCATGGCGGATTTAGTCAGTTGTGTCAGGAACTGGTGGTTTGAAATCCAGACTAATCCACGCCTGATTCATTTTCACAAACGTGAGTCTCTCCACACTTTGGGTGGACAGTCGTGTCCTCCGCGGAGTTACAATACCTCCTGCCGCACTAAACACGCGCTCCGATGCCACGCTACTGGCCGGGCATGACAGCCTTTCAAGGGCAAATTCAGCTAGTTGGGGCCAAAGGTCAAGTTTCGTTGCCCAGTAGTCAAGGGGATTGTCTACCTCGGTTGGCAGGGTGCTGTCCAAGTAGGCCCAAGCCTGTTGTTTGAGCTCCTGCTCCAGGTCCACCTGATGCTGCTGCTGCTGCTGCGGCTGGTTAGTAGTTTCCTCACTGCGCTGGTGAAGAAAGCTACTCATCATCGACTGCAGACTGAGGCAGCCGCTGCTGGTGGAGCTGCCACTGCTCCTACCACCCCACCCCTCCCCTGCTGCCATGGCAGCTGAACGCGAGCGCACAGGGCCCACAGTGTCTGAGGATGGACGTTGGTGCAGAAAGGCAGAGACCAACTGACTACATAGGTGGTTTTTATAGTACGTAATTTTGGCCTCCCTCTCAGCAGGTGTGAAAAAGGCCACCATTTTGGAACGGTAGCGAGGGTCCAACAAGGTGGACAGCCAAAAGTCATCCCTCTGTCTGATGGTTATTATTCGGCTGTCGCTACGCAAGCAAACGAGCATGCTATGGGCCATTTGTGCCAAGGAATGCGAGGGACTCCCTGCCTCCATCTCCACAGCATACTGCCACGGTGCGTCTGGGTCCTCTGTCTCCTCCTCCTCCTCCTCTACCAGATGCTCCTGCTCCTCCACTCCTGTCCGCTGAGTGGAAAAAAACCACCCATTTCACTCAATAATTCCTGAGCACAAATGTCCTCCTCTACCTCCTCCTCTTCTTCCTGTCCTGCCCCCACAGGGGTCATGTGGCGTTGAGATCTGTGCGCCACGTCTACCGCACCCTGACCAGCCATTGTTAACAGCATTTGTTCCAGGACGTGCAACAGAGGAATGACGTCGTTCATCCCATAGTCCTGCCGACTCACGAATAGCGTGGCCTCCTCAAAGGGCCTGAGCAAGCGGCAGGTGTCACGCATGAGCTGCCAATGGCTGACATCGAAGTTACACAGGGGAGTACCTTTATCCGCTTGTAACATCAGGAAATCGGTGATGGCCTTTCGCTGCTCGTAAAGGCGGTCTAACATGTGTAGGGTTGAATTCCACCTTGTTGCAACGTCGCAGATCAGGCGATGCTGTGGAATTCCGTTCTGCCGCTGCAGCTCAAGGAGGGTGTGCTTTGCGGTGTAGGAATGGCTGAAATGCATGCAAAGTTTACGTGACATTTTAAGGATGTCTTGCAGTGGGATGGTGGATTTTAGGAACCGCTTGACAACCAGATTGAACACGTGAGCCATGCATGGCGCATGGCACAACCTTCCTTGACGCAGAGCAGACACCATGTTCTTTCCGTTGTCGGTCAACATGGTTCCGATTTTCAGTTTGCGCGGAGACAGCCATCTGTCGATTTCTCTGTTCATTACACTCAGAAGTTCCTCCCCTGTGTGACTACGTTCGCCAAGGCATACCAGGTGCAGCACAGCGTGACACCGTTGCGCCCTGCACATGTGATATGCCGGTCGGGTAATGGGACTTGGCACGGGGGTGGTGGCGGCTGAGGACACGGCGGAAGAAGAAGAGGTGGTAGAGGCGGACATGTTTGCTGGACCAAGGACGTGCAAACGTGGAGGCAAAAGCGTCGTGACCTGTCCAAGTTGCTGGTGCGGCTGTGCCGGCACCACGTTCACCCAGTGGGCCGTAAATGACATGTACTGTCCCTGACCGTAGTTACAGCTCCACACGTCGGCGCTGCCGTGCACTTTGGCAGAGACCGACATGCTCAAAGACTGGCCCACCATCTCTTCTACATGTGAATGCAGGGCTGGCACTGCCTTTTTGGCGAAGAAATGACGGCTTGGCACTCTCCACCGCGGCGCGGCACAAGCCATCATTTCTCTCGGAAAGGTGCTGAGTCCACCACTTGGAAAGGGAGGGACTGCAGCAGCACCAGCAACTTGGACAGGAGACGTTCAGCTTTTGCACCGTCGGGTGCGAGCTCGCAAACTGTTGTCTCTTGGAAACGGATTCCAAGAAAGACTGCTGACGGAATCCGTGAGAAGAGGAGTAGCAGGAGAAGGAGCATCTGAACGAGCGGAAGATGCCAACGAGCGACAACTCCCCTCAGCAGAGGTGTTGGAGCCTTGACTGGCTGATAGAGGGCGATTGACGTCGGGTGACGGAGCAAGTAACGGAGCGGGTGATGGAGCGGGGGCTGGGGCTGGGCAGACAGAACCGCCGTATCTTTATCACGGTTTTCCCAGGCCACCAAATGGCGACGCTGCATATGCTGACGCAACGCTGTAGTCCCAACATGGGCCCCCTGGCCACGCTTGACTTTCTGGCCACATAGTCGACATACGGCTACGTTTACTTCCTCGGGCGGCTTGACGAAAAATTGCCACACCGCCGAGTAGGAAACTTTGCCCCCGCTACTCCTCACTGGCTGACTGCTACTTCCTCCGTGCACACCGGCACCACTACTGGCCGTGGTGGTAGGCTGCAGTGGAGCTGGTGCTCTACTCCGTGGCCGTTTGGCTCCACTGACACTGCTGCGACCCTGCTGCCTCCTGGGCAACCCACCGACTGTTTCGCTCGCTGCCAAGCTGGCACCCCTCTTCTCCTGATGATGCGGAAGAAATTGCCTGATGACGACGAGGCTGCCAAGTGCGATCAACCTCCTCATCATCAAAGTAGGGTCTCCGCCTCACTACTAGCCCCCTCGGCTGCGTCTGGGTCAGGAGACAGACCTGTCTCTAGACCGGCTACCGAGCCACTCTCCTCGCCAGTACTTCTTCGCCTGGCTGCTGAAGAGGCGGATGTCTCCCCCCGTTCCTGACCGCCCTGTTAGCTCTTCCTCACTGTACAGTGGGGCTGAGCCCACAGCATGCGATACTTCGCTTGGTGAGGGAACAGCAAAGGACAGGGGCAGGTAGAGGACACGTGATTTCAGTGGGCTTGCTCCCGGGCCATGCCAACTAACGGTTGTGTCTGACGTACCCACCGACCGTTGGCTGTAGGTGTCAGAGGTGACCTGGGAAGAGGAAGACGACCGAGCCAACCAATCGATGACGGCAGGGTTGTCGGTGGAGACACGACCGCTGGATGACACCGGGAGCACTGGCCTCTGGCTGCGACTAGTGCTGCCTCGACCCCTTCCTCTGCTGCCACGTCTGCTCGCTCCTAAAAACATTGCCTCCTCTGCCACTCCTCTGCATGTTGTCTGACATACTCTTTAATTCAACGATTCTGTGTCCCTGAGTAACAATTCTGTGTCCCTGAGTAACAATTCTGTGTCTGTCCCTGAGTAACAATTCTGTGGCCCTGAGTAACAATTCTGTGTCCCTCAGTAACAATTCTGTGTCCGAGTAACGTTTTCTGTGTCCCCTAAGTAACGGTTCTGTGGCCCTAAGTAACGGTTCTGTGTGGCCCTCAGTAACAATTCTGTGTCCCTGAGTAACGTTTCTGTGGCCCTAAGTAACGGTTCTGTGGCCCTCAGTAACAATTCTGTGGCCCTCAGTAACAATTCTGTGTCTGTCCCTGAGTAACAATTCTGTGGCCCTAAGTAACGTTTCTGTGGCCCTAAGTAACAATTCTGTGGCCCTCAGTAACAATTCTGTGTCCCTGAGTAACGTTTCTGTGGCCCTAAGTAACGGTTCTGTGGCCCTCAGTAACAATTCTGTGGCCCTCAGTAACAATTCTGTGTCTGTCCCTGAGTAACAATTCTGTGGCCCTAACTAACGTTTCTGTGGCCCTAAGTAACGGTTCTGTGGCCCTCAGTAACAATTCTGTGTCCCTGAGTAACGTTTCTGTGGCCTAAGTAACGGTTCTGTGGCCCTCAGTAACAATTCTGTGGCCCTCAGTAACAATTCTGTGTCTGTCCCTGAGTAACAATTCTGTGGCCCTAACCTAACGTTTCTGTGGCCCTAAGTAACAATTCTGTGGCCCTCAGTAACAATTCTGTGGCCCTGAGTAACGTTTATGTGGCCCTAAGTAACGGTTCTGTGGCCCTCAGTAACAATTCTGTGGCCCTCAGTAACAATTCTGTGTCTGTCCCTGAGTAACAATTCTGTGGCCCTAAGTAACATTTCTGTGGCCTAAGTAACGGTTTCTGTGGCCCTCAGTAACAATTCTGTGTCCCTGAGTAACGTTTCTGTGGACCTAAGTAACGGTTCTGTGGCCCTCAGTAAAAATTCTGTGGCCCTCAGTAACAATTCTGTGTCTGTCCCTGAGTAACAATTCTGTGGCCCTAGTAACGTTCTGTGGCCCTCAGTAACAATTCTGTGTCCCTCAGTAACAATTCTGTGTCCCTTAGTAACAATTTCTGTGGCCCTAAGTAACGGTTTCTGTGGCCCTCAGTAACAATTCTGTGGCCCTCAGTAACAATTCTGTTTCTGTCCCTGAGTAACAATTCTGTGGCCCTAACTAACGTTTCTATGGCCCTAAGTAACGGTTCTGTGGCCCTCAGTAACAATTCTGTGGCCCTCTTAACAATTCTGTGTCTGTCCCTGAGTAACAATTCTGTGGCCCTAACTAACGTTTCTGTGGCCCTAAGTTCTGTGTCCCTGAGTAACGGTTCTGTGGCCCTCAGTAACAATTCTGTGTCCCTGAGTAACGTTTCTGTGGCCCTAAGTAACGGTTCTGTGGCCCTCAGTAACAATTCCGTGGCCCTCAGT